TGCAGCTGTGTGCGCCCCCCCCCCCCCCCCCCCCCCCCAAAAAAAAAAAAAAAAATTTTTGCAGCACCTGGAGATAACAGCACCACAGTGACACCATCCCACAGCGCCTGGCTCCTCTTGGTGTGCCACTGCTCCTCCACCACCACGTACAGCACCAACATGTGCCAGGCCCACAACAGCCCTCCAGGAGGGAGGGGCAGGGGTCAAGTGAGGTCCAACTCCCTCCCCCCCCAATAATATCTTCCCCCCCACTTGCCCATCCATCCTATGGAGAGGTGGGGGTTTGCAGAGGAAGTGCAAAGCATCCTGGGATGCTGGGGGACTGACTATGAATTAACTTGAATGTGGAGGGGATCTGAGACAAAAGTTCAATAAACCAATTTAACCTAAATCAGTTAAATTTGATACTGTGTCCATCCAGCTTTATCTTAAACTGCTTTCAGCCATTTTGAAAGCAATTTATATGCACTGAACTTCTGTTGTGTTACAGATTTGAACCGGTTTCTGATCACTTATCCCAGTATATGTATAATTTCTGTCCCTAGCCTTTTTGTTCTAGCCCATAAACGCTTGCTGTATCAGGGAGAGTGCCACAGAGCCTGGAAACTTTATCCTGCCACATAATGGAGATTTGTTGAGGTTTAATTCTTGCATTGGAAGGTATTTTCTCTTCACCAGTCTGGTTCAAATGGAGTGCTGATCAAAGATTCTTGAAAGTTGCCTCCTCGTTCCCCAATCTAAACTATTAAGAAAGGAGATATATTTCTATGCAGTTGGAAGAGCAGAGTTTAAATCTGCTTTGTACAATTCTGATAGGAAGAAAAGCTGGATCATCTGGAGTGATGCATTTCAATCTAGAAACCAAGGGACTTGACCAAATTCTGGAATTCCATAACCAACTTTTAAATTGCCTGTTATTTATAGGAAGAGAAGAGCAGCCCAAGTGTGGTAGATGTCAGTTTCAGAAAGATGTACCATGCTTTCCTTTTCACGTCCCCTTCAGTGTTTGTTTGGTTTTCCTCCTCTTTTGTTGGTCTTTTTGGTATCTTTTTGCTTCTATGAAACAGGAGAAATTTAATTATTTACCATTGGTGCCCATATTAAAGAAATGTTTTGCTGCATAAGGAGTTTTTGTTTATATTTTGTGTACAATAAAAAGATATTTTTATTTTAGTGGAAGTACTCAAAGGCCTCTGAGTACTACAATACAAAAGTGTATTATAAGATTGTATTATGTATTATTACAGTTTTTGAAAGAAAGAAAGGGATTGCATAGGTTAAACTGGGGTAAGAGAGTGTTGATTTTATTTGTTTGTTTTGTTTTTAGCTTTGCTTTTTTCCATCCTACTACTCGCATCAGAATATTATAAATCAGAATTTAGTTGAATATTGTCATTTTTTATTTGGTGACAAGACTTTTAGGGAAAAGAAATTGGGCATCCATCCTCTTGTTAGTTGTTTTTCTGATAGTAACAAAGGTCATTATTGTTCATAGCAAAAATCTGTTCTATTTTCTAGCTATGAGCATTTTTAGACAACGTTTTGCTTCAGCCTTGTTGCATGAGACAAAATTGTTTCATTCCTTTTAATTAAAATGCATTTAAGTGTTGTGTATAGCATTTCTGTACATACAGATGTTTGATAATGCACACAGATTTGACTAACTAGAGATTTCAGGAAAGGACCTGGAAAATCTGACATTGGTTTGAGGTTTTTTTCCTTATACTTAATCCATTGATTTGTAGATGGTTATTTTTATTTTTTTAAATAAAAACCTTTTGGCATTTTTTTAACATTCTCAAGCTGCTTTATTCACCAGGATACCACCAAGTCTAAAAAATGAAATACGTTTCTTACACAGTTTGTAAAGCTTTTGTTTACTTTTTATGCTTGCAGGCCTCCAACAGTCAAACATCGCCACAGTCTGCCACCACACCAAGGACGGAAAGTACAACAGGAACCGCAATTGCTACCTCTTCTAGAACACCTCCATCATTCAGTCTTCAGGGTCCTCTGTGTCCTCCTGTGTGTCCCCCTGCTCCATTAGAGGAACTGTCTCCGGATAGTATTGATGCTCATACATTTGATTTTGAAACGATTGGCCATCCAAGCTTAGAACAAGCCCTTAAGCAAGGCTCTTTAGATTTGGATTCACTAGCAGAAAGTCCAGAATCGGATTTTATGTCAGCAGTGAATGAATTTGTAATAGAGGAAAATCCAGTATCCCCTAATATAATAAGTGATCCACAAAGTCCAGAAATGATGGTAGAGTCCCTCTATTCTTCGGTTATCAATGCAATAGACAGCAGACGCATGCAAGACACAAATGTTTGTGCAAAAGGAGGTTTAGTGGAAAACGCTTCTCTAAATATTTGTATGGAGAAATGTAGAGTTATTGCCCAGGAATCACAAACAAACTTAAAGAACATAAAAGAAGACCTTTGCCACTTTAGAGTACTTGTACAAAAAGAACAATGTGACTTTTCTAATTCTTTAAAATGTACGTCAGTAGAAATAAGAAATGTTATTGAAAAAGTAAAACTTTCACTTGAGAAAACACTAACTGATAAACATCAAAAAGAATTGCAGTCTCTGAAAAGTGAATATGAAACTAAAATTAATAAATTACTGGAAGATGGTGAGGAAAACAAAAAAAAGATTAAAAAATTAAAAGAAGACTTAGCAGGCCTTGAAGAAGTTCTGCAAAATAAAGATCATGAATTTGCAGTGGTGAAGAATGAAAAAGAATGTGTTGTTCACCTACAAAATGAGAAAGATCAGAAGATGCTTGAATTAGAATGTCAGATGAAGAATCAAAATTATGAACTTAAGGAACTCAGACATTCACGTGAGATTGTACTGGAAGATATGAAAAAGCTTCATCTTGAAAATGATGAAAAAATACAAATTTTGAAGACGGAGTTTCAGTGTCTTGAACAAAGTCACCTAAAAGAATTGGAAAACAATTTACAGATCAGGCATACCCAGGAATTTGAAAGGATAGTAGCTGAGCACAAAGATTGCTTAGATGAGTTAAAAAAAGAAAACTTGCACAGACTTGAACAAATGCAGGAATCTCATGCTGCAGTTGTGCAAGAGAAGGAAAAACAGGTAGAAGAGTTAAAACTCAAAGTTTCTGATCTGTCTGATTTGAGGTGCAAATTAGAAGTTGAACTTGCGCTGAAGGAAGCAGAAACAGATGAAATGAAGGTGATGTTAGAAGAAAGCAGAATCCAGCAACAGGAGACCATAAAGTCTCTTATTGATAAAGAAACTGAAAGCTTAAGAAAAGAGATAGATGCATTAAATCTCAAGTTACAAATAAATAATGATGAATATCATGTGAGCTTAGCAGAGCTGAGAACTTTAATGACAATTGAGAAAGATCATTGTATTTCAGAATTAGTGAACAGGCATGAAGAAGAATCAAATTTGCTTAGAACTGAATTAAGCAAAATAACCTCTTTACATCAGGAAGCTTTTGAAGAAGAAAAAAGACTCAAAGAACAAATAATAGAACTGCAAAGTAAGTTAGAAACTGAAGTGAATGCCCTAGAAAAGGAAAAGGAGAAAAAAATGGTTCTGTGTGAACAACAGGAAAAATATGAGGCTGTTATTCATAAACTTGAGGAGGAGAAACTGCTGTTAATATCTAACCAAGAGGATGATAGAAAATTGCTTATTCAAAAGCTCAGTTGTGAAAAAGAGGATGCGGTGCAAATTGCCCATAAAGAGTTTGAATTGCAGAGGGAAGCTGTTGAAAAAGAGCTTTTGGAAAAAATACAACAACTTGAGATGCAAGTAAATCTGAGGTACTGTAAGAGTTAAGTTGCCATATTTTCTTAATGATCAAAAGTAAGATAATTCAAAACTGATTTGCTTTCTTTATGAAAATAGCAATGCATGGCCCATGTCCATATACAGCTTAATAGTGTTTTTTGGTTTGTATAGTTTCAAGTTGATAATAAGACTACTACATAGTAATATTTTTGCATAAGTGGACTCCAAATAAATAAAATGTTAAGGTATGTGTAATGTTTGCGCTCCTTCTGAATGCTCTGAAAATAACTTCAAAGAAAGTAGATTTAAAACCAAATGTATACACAACTTAGTTTGTAACTCCACTTTGAGAAAAAAGTCGAGTTTCTTTTTATGTAATTTGCATATCATTTGCTTACTAATTCAAGGTCCTTGATATGCGGGATAGACAGTATATTTACTCCACACATGCATCTTTCTTCGAAAAATCAGCCCTTTAACTTTGGGGGGTTATGTTTTAAATAAGGAAACTGACTTCCTGCACCACAGTTGAAGCACACAGTGGCTACATAGAGTTGTTATGGCTATTGGGGCTGTCTTTCTTTCCCAACTTGAAGGAGGGAGAGAATGCCTGTCAGCTACTTTTAAGCTTTTCATAGTTGCTGCTGAATTGTAGTAGCTTTTAGTGAGAGGGTTAAAACTACCTTTTGCCTGAGCAGCATCAGTCAAGATTCAGCCATGCAGTCACAATTCAGCTATGACGCTGGAAAAATCTTCCCAATCCCGCCCCCCATTGTGTGTTGCCATACAAGGTGCATGTCTTATTTGCTGGCCATGAGGTATGCCAGGAAAATAAGGTAGTTACAGCTCAATTGAAATTTTAAAAATGAGTCCTTAATAAAATGTTATGTGAGAAATGCCTTAGAAAAACATTAGTTTGGGGAACCAGTAACTGAGAGCAGGTAAATCTGCTGATTCGTAATGATTATATGAACCATATCATTGATGCCTTTCAAAGAACATAAGCATGGCAGCCAGAAGTTCATTATGTATACAGAGAAAAGTGGTTAAGCAGTATCTTCTTATATGAACTGCAAACCAAACTTACTTTTATAGTCTGTTATGTCATACCAGAGGAAAACATTTTCTTCTTTATAGGATGCAGTAGAAGATCTCATTTAACTGGACATTGTACAAACTGAGACATTCCCTGCCACTGAGAAATTTTATATCTAGGTATAAGGATATGCCATGTAGACAAATTGAACAAGTTTGGCTTGGGGGTAAACTGACTACGTAAATAACAATGTAATAGTTAAACAAAAAAGCAGCACAGTTCAATGTGGATAACAAATTTAAATGAGATCTTTCTTTTTAACTTCAGTCACTGTAGCCCTATTCTAAAAAACGCTGCTTTTCTAAATATAGAGTTGAGCAGAATTGCATGCACACAATTTACATTTGAGGTGCACAGTTTTAAAAAAAAAATCAAATTTAATTTTGAATGATAGTTTTAACCAGAGCACCTTGTTTTTATGTTATGGGGCACTATCATATTTGTGGTAAAATTTCAAACTAAAAAACAGCCAACAAAAGAAAATCCCCTCTAAATGTTAAAAGTATTAAATCAGGTACCATATTTTCTTGTGTGTATATATACAATCTCATGACCAAGCTGGGGAGCTGTAGCCTCGACCATCTCACAGTCCGATGGCTGGGGAAATGGCTCCGGGGTCGGACCCAAAGGGTACTAGCTGACGGGAACAAATCAACATGTCTCAAGGTTATCAGTGGAGTTCTCCAGGGCTCAGTGCTCAGGCCAGTACTCTTCAGTATCTTCATAAATGATCTGGATTTGGGCATCAGATGCAGACGGGCAAAGTTCACAGATGACACTAAATTATGGGGGAAGGCAGTCCCGCTGGAGGACAGACTGGGGATACAGGCCGACCTGGACACACTTACAAAGTGGACAGACCAAAACCTGATGGCATTCAATGTAGAGAAATGCATGGTACTTCACCTTGGAATCAAAAAACAGAATCATACTTGGGATCAACAGTGCTACACTCGCTAGCGCGATGACTGAAAGAGACTTGGGGGTCTTGATTGACCACAAGATGAACATGAGCCACCAATGCGATGCTGTGGTCAGCAGAACAAACCAAACTCTAGCATGCTTCCACTGATGCATCTCAAGCAAAATCAGGGACATCATCCTCCCACTTCACTTGGCCTTAGTGGGGCCGCAGCTGGAATACTGCATCCAGTTTTGGGCCCCCCACTTCAGGAGGGATGTGAAAAAGCTCAAGAGAGTCCAGAGGAGAGCCACCCATATGACCAAAGGCCAAGAGAGCAAGCCTTACGAGGAGAGGCTGAGACACATGGAACTCTTTAGCCTGGTGAAGAATAGCCTCAGGGGGGACTTGGTGGAAGCCTATAAGTATATAAGGTAGATGCATCAGGATCTGGAAGAACAGTTGTTTACCAGGGCTCCCAAGTCAAAACTAGGTCTAACGGCCACAAACTTGTAGAAGGCCAATTCAGACTCAAGATAAGAAAAAACTTCTTTATAGCCTGTGTCCAAGATCTGGAACAGACTCCCCCCAGAGGTGGTACAAGCACCTACTCTGGATTCATTCAAATGGTATTTGGATGTTTATCTTGCTGGGATTATTTTCCCCCTGCAGACTCCCTGCCTCTGGCAGGGGGCTGGACTCTGATCTCATGAGGTCTCTTCCAGCCCCTAAAGTCTATGAAATCTGTGAAACCCAGAATATAATACAAACCTTTTTGAAGGGCAGAATGAAATTTAAAAGATCTTTTTTTGAAGTAAACCGAGTAGTAGATTCTAGGGAGCTGAGCTTCTGATTTTGCCCCCCCCCCGTAAATTTGTGGAGATTTTATTTTCACTTTTGTCCAGTAAGTGGAGATCTGTTCTTACCATATTTTTGCATATAATGCATGCTATAATTTTGAGCAACTTTTTTTTTATTTTTGGAAAAATGTTGCATGAAAGAAAATATGGTGTCTCAGTTGAGGGAAAAAAATGATTGAGAAATCAGAAGGCATCAGAATAACAAAACTTCTTTCAAGGCCACTTAATTATGTCGCAATGAAAAATAAATAGGAATTTACTAATCACTTCATCCCTTTCCTTTCGTATCCATTTACCAAATGTTAGAAGTAAAATGATATTGTGAGGTATAGTTGTGACAAGAAAAACATGAGAACAAGAAGTGGCTTACAGGGTCAGACCAATGGTCCATCTAGTCCAGTATCCTGTCTCTGATAGTAGTAGAAGTAGATGCTTTAGATTAGATTAACTATATTTTTTGTGATCACACTTTTCCATGTTTAAACTAAATTATTATAAAATGATACTTTGAGTGTGTGCGTGTGAGCGCACATGCACACGCATACCCACACCTAGATATATACTGAACAAACCCAGTCAACATTTGTTCTAGTTACCTTAGTACACGCTCCAACCATGAGTGTGGCTGTTGCAGGTTCTGACTGACTTTATCTTACATAATGGTGTGATATCTATGAAATTAAGAACTTTTGCCTACTTTTTTTCCTAATGGGAGTTGCCAGATGCCCTTTTATTGTTCTCCTTTTTTCCTGGGATTAATCCATCCAAGAAAGAAGAGGACATGCATTTACTTTTTGGAATGTACTTTCTGATTGCAGAAGTTGACTTCTGGTTCTCTGAAAGCCCCAGTTGGGAGTTCAGTCAGAGTTTGAATTTCTGTAATTTCCTGTATTCCCTGTATTGCACTAAGTTTGTTCCTGATGGGGATAAAAAGTGGCTTTTGCATAGCATGTGCCTATCGGCTGGCTAGCTAGCTAGCTAAATGTTGTATTCTATATGAATAATAGTGCCTCAGCCGTGTGCAGACATTGGTAAGGACTGCTATTCAGTTTGAGTTGAACTTTTTCACTGGAATTAATCATTCAGTTTCTGTTATGTATGAAGAATGCAAGTGATCTTTCCCAAATACAATAGTTCTTTTCCTTGAAATAAAAATTATTTTTTCTGAAAACGTGCAGGTAAGGAAGTTGACTACTTAGAAATTAAAATGAATTCATATGGATGTTTTCAAATGTATAATGTTGATGACTCCCTTCAGTGCAGATCGTTGATCATATCTTTAGTTTCTATCCTTTCTTTTGCTAGAAACTCTACTCGTTTGCATTCTTTAAAGAATACAGATCTAACAGAATTTTAAATCTGAAGGAAGGTGGTGAAAGTTTTTTAAATTGCGTATTACAAGTAAACTTTTTTTCTTAAGTTTTTTTTACTTAATTATTCATAGGAAGTAGGATCTAACATAAATAGAAATGTAAGGTCCCGGCCATGTTACATTATATGGTGTGATTGATATGTTAATTGTGCCATAAATGGCTAAACAGGAGGCATGTTGCTAATGTATGGCTCCATAAAATGGCAAACCAGCCACAAAGTTACTCCATACAAAATGGCACTAGTTAGGGCCAAGGGGCTCCAAGCTGCTGCCAGAAACCTTGCAACCAGCAGGTTAAAACTACCTTTTGCTCTAAAGTTCCACTTAATATGTCTGATAGTATCTGCTGTAGGCCCCATTCTCAGGTCTGGAACCAGCCCTGTGGCTCTCTAGGGCTAGGGCTGACAATCAACTTGTTGTTGGCCCTGGCCTGGACAGCCCCACATATAGCCCTGTTGCATGATTGGGATCTAAATTCTATGCCCCATCCTAAACTTTCTGCATCCTTCTGTGTGGTGTGCTTGGGGTAGAGGATAGAACTTCTCAGATCACAATTTACACCATTATTTTACCATCTGTCAGAGGCCTGACTCCAAAGGTGCACCCCACCTTCTTCTTATATAACTAGTTTCTCTGTTCCTTTTCTAACTGTCCCGTTTGGTTGTCTGTGGGTCACATCAACAAAGGAGTTTTTAAAGAAAATAGGAAAATATGATTGTAAAACCATTATTTGTAGGCCTGTATAGAATGTATGCAATTACACTTAATTTACTTGTTTTTCCAATTAGATGTTCACATTTAATAACTAAAGTTCTTCTCTATTGGAATTCTCTTCAAAAGGTCTGTTTCTTGACTATCCACTGAGCTTTAGAATCTTTTAATTTCCTTCCACAGAAAGTGCAGAAAGCCGTTGGTTCCAGCTTACACTCTTGGCATATTCTCATGGTTTAAATTTCATGAGAACTGGTCTTTATAGGAGATGCATTGACTGTTACTATCAGGTATCCAAACTGCTTTGTCATATGGCTGTCATTTTAACCTTCTAATGTTCCTAAACAGTAGGAAATATTATGGGTCAACCAAGAAGAATTATTTGAAATTGTGTGTGTATGTGTATATGTGTGTGTGTGTGTATGTATGTATGTATTAGTCTCAGGCTGAAAAAATCAAGCTTGTATAGGCTATGTAACAGTCTCTGAACATTTGCAGGTTCTTTATAATTGTAGAACAGTAAAAATATTCAAATATCATGGAGCCAAGGAAAATGAAATAAGCTTCAGTGGGCAATGATGCAGTGGGTCATCAAGAAATTGAAAAAAAAATAGTGATTTGGAACTGAAATCAACCGTGTTTAAGGAAATTAGCAAAACTACAAAACATGTAGTCTTTGCTGACTTTATAATACAAGTTTTACTGCCATGAAAAGTTTTGTGTATGAATTACATGTTTTATGATTGTGTTGGAATAGGCAAGTTTTGGAGACGTCTAAATGGTTGACATGCTCAGTAATTTAATTGCATTTAATTTTGTAATTGAAATCAAGTAAATTTTGTCAGAATAATCTGTAAATAAGGTACAGAAATGAATCACTCAGGTTGATGAATTGCAAAATTCCAACAAGAAAAACTTGAATTAGAACAAAAACATTAGTGTGATAATAGGTAATATCCATCTGTTTGTGTACTGTAAAACATGTCTGCTAATCTTTGACAGAAGAATGTTATAAACAGAGTAGGAATTTGGCTGGTTATTTCTTAATGTGTCTAAACAGAATATTTTGAAAATCCTACTTCTAAACAGAAACTAAAAAAAAGTCTCATCCGCTGACAGCCTACAATAGGCAGAATGTAGAACTCTTCCTGTGTAAAGATAAACTTCACTGGGGTTCTAACTCCTGAGTGTCTCTGCCTTTTCGTGTCAGGTGTGTGTGGATCTGCATTTTGAAATACTTTTGTTCCCAATGTTGGTAGTAGTTAACGTGGAAGATTAAATCAAATCTGAGTAGTGTACGTATCCTTGAAACACTTAGTCTTTCAAACTGACTTTTGTCCACGTCATTGAAGAAACTTCCCCCAGGAGTGGCCTCATTTCCATTTACCTGTCTGCCAGTCAGGTCTCACTTTTTAATGAATTGAAATTTAAGTTGGCAACTAAACACTTTTTCAGTGGCAATTCAGGGCTTACTGCAGCCAGTTTAAGTCTATTTTTGATGTCTTGCTGCTTGTTTTGACATCTAATTTTAGTACTTCAAAGTTTTCTTTTGCAACATAGTGGGTGCATCTACACATTCATTAATGCACCTTTGCTACTGTGCATTAAGTTTAGTATTTCTAACATGAGGTACTTGATAAAGGAGCAGTAGCTGCCCCAATGCACAGAAGCAAAAGCTAACTATTTTTGTGATGCTTAATGCGCAGTAGACTAATTCTGCTGTGCATTAGCACGTTAACACGGTTTTTGCCATGATGCGCTAATGCGCAGTAGAACAGTCCACTGCACATTAAGGTGTCTCATGTAGACGTGCCCACTGTCAGCTTTTGAGTAGTATATTATTTTAACACTTCTTACTTACAAAGTTTGAAGCTTATTTTTTATGCCTGTCTCTTAGTGCTTAGTATATCACATTTCATGACTTCAAACCGTGTCTGTATGATGGAACAGTGACAGTAATGGCTAAACATATTCATTGCATTACCTTGTGTGGAGTAAGAACTGAGCAGTGTTTGCCCACAAATCTCGCCCAACACACTGAAGGAAAGAACTTGAAGATATCCCGAGATGCCTCTGAAAGCAAGGCAGTAAGCCCAACCATAGTGTATTTTTTTTTGAAGGCTAGACGCTTAAAACCAAAGCCTGAGGTGGCCAAAAATCAGTAATTCACATTTGAATTTCAGAACCCCAGCTTCCCTGCGTTTATCAGAGAGAGTTGCATCACTCAGTTGATTAGCACCCTGGAAAATCAAACTTACCAAATGTTATAGTCCTTGATATGCTGAAATCCACCTACACCTGAAATTGATGGTAATATGCTTCGCCTCAACTAATGAGGCAGACACTAAGGGTGAAGTTAAAACAGGCTTCAGGAAGGACCAGACTGCCCTCCAGTATAGAAGTTGTATTGGCAACGAGAGCCAACGTTTAACATAACTTGCTCTGGTGAGAGTATATAGTAAACAATACGGGACAACTCAGCCTGTGCTACGTATGCTGGTTCATGTGACTGTACTTGTATGATTATACAGCCAATGAAACCTTGTGGAAATGAGTGTTACTGCATGATGGACAACCTCCATGGCTTTTTAGCTCATGGATGTTTTTTTCTGCGATCTTCAGTTAGAAAGAAACTTTTAGGTACGTCCCATCCAAATTGCAGGCACAAATGCAAATGCATCTAACTAGGATGTAGAGCTCTGTGTAAAACAACGGTGCCCGAGGACCTTGGGATCTCTAGTTCTTGATTTTTATTTTTATTTTATTTTTTTTTTTTTTGCTTAATCTTTCAGGTTTTGGTTCCATATTTTACTAGTTGCTTAGGCCATAGTCCTATAAAACTATCATATCAGTTATTATAGTTCTCATTGAATTATTATTGTTGTGACAGGAAGTCTGTTTTTAAGGTATGTCCATAGCCCTTATGTCCAGAATGCCTTAAAATACCAACCTCTGGTGCATTTAAATTGAACAAGAATACAGAGAAGCCACGTTGTCTTCTCTAAATGTTACTGGTGTGTAGTAGTCTTGGAATATCACTATTCATTGTATATGACCCCCTGAAAAAGAATGCTGATTCAAGGCCTCAAAATTGCAGGACAGGAAATAATCTCCATCTAGATTTCTGTTTTATTTTTTGGCTGGGATTTCAAAATGTCAGCAACTCAAAGATTTTTTTTTTTTGTATTTATGTGAGGTTGTGCTGTTAGTGTTTTATATAAATTCTCTGCTGTATGTGTATAAACGGCATGCATTTTAATGTTGCTTATTATTAGGTATTAATTTATCTTCTGCATTGTCATAGTAGTACTTTTTCCACTTTAAGATACTTTATTTCTCAATGTCAAAATCTTGTGCAAATGGTCTTAAGAAGGAATGGTGACTTGTACTAATTTTTCATTTGATTATTTCTCAAAATGTTCACCAATACTCTCAGATTTCAGTTGATGGAACTTTTTTCTTGGGTTTTAATTTTATTATCCCTCAGTATGTGTTTTGGTGGTTAAAAGAAGCTATTTAATTGGCTTCTTTTGCGAATTCTTACTTCCTATGCCATTTCAGAGTTGTGTGGAAGGTACTCATTCAAGCAGTTGACACTTCAGGCGCATGAGTAAGATAAGTCTTAAGCTTGAATGCAAGGGAGTTGTTGGAAACAAGATGTCCATGAATGAGAATGATCAGGTAGTAGAAGAAGTTTAAAAATAATAGAATTAAAGGTATGTAATACTTTAGTTGAAACAAGGTTTATTAGCTATTTCTAATAGGGGTGCGCAGAAAAAATATGTTCTGCTTTTCTTAGTTTATTTCTATGATGTATTTCTTACAAGTTTCTGTAATGAGTACTTAAATTCTAAATGTTTTCTTTTTAAGTCCTCCTCTTGAATTATCTTCTGAATCAAGATTAGTTGCTAAACTTCAAGAAGAACTGAAAGAAGAGAAAATGAAATTTTTAGAGCAACTTGAAGAGCAAGAGAAAAGGAAGAATGAAGAAATGCAAAACATTAGAACCTCTTTAACTGCAGAACAGCAGGTGAAGCAGATGTTTTTGATTCTTTTGTGATCAGAATATTTAAGATTCTATGAATTTTTTTTATTACTTTATTTTTTTAAGATTTAAAACTTTTGTCATATAATTTAAATCTCATGTACATAGTCATCTGGACAGTATACTACTATCTTTAGAATGTCAAGCATCAGGATTGGATATGACTTCTCTGACCATTAAACTTTGACTTTGGTGAAAAGCAACTCAGTTTAAAGTTGCGGATGTAGGAATGTGTAGTTTGGCCATATTTCCTTTTCTCTTTCTTATAAGCCTGTTACCATAACACGTCTCAAACCAAGGATGCTTAACTGAGCTCCCACAAGAGCTTGATTACATGAATATACTGGAAAAATGGTCTGTGATTAATCAGATGAAATTCAGCAATGACAGATGTGAAGTCCTGCACTTAAGACAGAATACTCAAGCACAAATACAGACTGGAATGACTGGGTAGGCTGCAGTACTGCAGAGAAGGACCCAGGAGTTTATAGTAGATTATAAATTGAATATGAACCAAAAGCATGCTCTTGTTACAAAAAACAAACAAACAATAAAGACTAGCAGTAGACTGGGTTGTATCAATAGGAGTGCCATTTGCAAACCAAGGGAAATTATTCTTCTGCTCTATTCAGCGCTAGTGAGGCATCACCTGGAGTTCCATGTCTATTTTTGGGCCCCACAGTTCAAGAAGGATTTGAACATTTTGGAAAAAGTACAGCACTGAGCAGCAAATATGATTAGAGATGAGCAAGATTTTATGAAGGAAGACAGAAAGAACTAGGGTTATTTGTCTGGAGAAGAGAAGACTGAGGGGTGTGAAACAGTCTGCAAGTGCCCAAAAGGTAATTTATAGAAAGGACGGAGATGGGCTATAAGGGACAGGACTAGAAATGAGGCCTCAAGCTGTGGCAGAGGAAATTTAGGTTGGATAATAGGAGGTACTTTCTGACTGTGAGGGTGGTCAAGTATTGGAACAGGCTACCTGGAGAAGTTGTGGACTTTCCATTCCTGGACACTTTCAAGAGCAGGGTAGACAGATACTTGGCTGGGATCATTTAGTCAGGGATAATTCTGCCTTGAGGAAGGAGCTGGTTTAGATGTCCTTGTGTGGTCCTTTCCAGTCCTACTTTCCCGTGCTCCTGTTTTTTCTTCTGATTAATTGTCAGGTACAGTATCTCTGAGCAACATTAAACTGTTTCCAATCCCAGTTGATTCAGATAATCACTTCCCTACTCTTGGCTCAGGCAGAAGCTGACCTTTAGGTTCAGATCAAACGTTCCACTACCTATTTCATTGTAGATTTGTTTTTAAAAATGCCCATACCTTCTAAGCATCCATCCTTTGTTCATAGGTTCAATATACTAAATACATAACAAATCATACTCAGAAGCAGGGGCAGGCAATTATTTTGGGCGGAGGGCCGCTTACCGAGTTTTGGCAAGCTGTTGAGGGCCTCATGGGTAGCCCCACCCCTTGACAGGAGCCTTGCCCTCTGGTCACCTTCTTGTATCCAGAAGTCCCGCCCCCTGACCTTTTGCCACCAGAAGTCCACCCCTTGCCCCCAGAAGTACTTCTTTCAGCAAGGGGTATTGCCATCTTGGAACCAGAAAAATACCAAATTATATTCTAAAAAGCAAACATCTACAGCATTCATTAATTTGATTTCAAAAAATATTTTGTCCTGATTTACATGCATTTGTGTAATGTGCATAGAGGTGATTGCACAATAGCTTAATGAAGTCTTATTCTTGTATGTTGTGGGGGGTGGGTATAGATTTGTTGGGGGTTGTATGTGGGAGTGAATATGTGGGCTGTGGGTGGGTATGGGGCTTGTGTATGGCAGTGCAAGGTGGGGTGTGGGTGCGCACACAGACTCTCCCTGAGCACGCATGCACACTTACCAGTGCAATCCCAAGCTCCATGGTCTGGCAATGTAGCCGGGAGCCATGTGGTGCTGGAGCAGGGCCGGGGAAAGGAACCAGGGAACTAGCTGGGGGTGCAGTGGGTCTGGGCTGTTCAAGCCTGCTGAGGCTCCCTCTGAAACCTACTGCCCCTGGCTCTTGTCTGCTTTCACATGGAGCCAAGTGGTAATAAATATTAATTTATTAATTTTTTTTTAGGGGCCTTGCAGGCTGAATAGAATGGCCTGGCAGGCCAGATTTTGCCCGCCCCTGCTCAGAAGGCTAGGCTGTACATATATCCAGCAGTTCTTCCTTTCCCCAAAGGTTCTTGGAAAAGATTCATGAACAGTTGGAAAATTTTCATAAAATGTTTATCCATCTGCAAGAGTGTACATAAGCTGTGAGCAGAGTGGAGAATGTAGATACCTCTCCCTTGTTGTCTCTTTTTTTCAATTGCATCCTACAGAACACGTGGTAATTAGTGTAAGATTTTTCTCACCTTAATGCAGGGGTGCTCAATCTCTGGCCTGCTGGCTGAATGCAGCCCATGGAGCCATTGTCTGGAAATTTGGCAGTGGGGGAGCAGTGGCTATCAGTCACCCTCCCATGCTGAATTCCCAAACCCCAAGCCCTGTGCATCTAGTTGAGGCCAGGGTGTGTGTGCGTGTGTGTCCCCCAAGCATCTGGATTGGGGCTGGGCCAGGCCATGCCTCCGACCCATGGGGTTGGTTTGGTGGTAGGCCACACGCCTTCCTCATGGACGCAAACTACACACCTTTTCCCCAAAAGAAGTGGGCCAT